ATGGGGGGGGGGGGGAGGAAGAAAAAGAAAAAAATTAAATTTCAAGTGCTAAACCCCTATTCAAATGGGCTTAAGCATAAAAGCCAATTTATTGGTTCATGGTAGCTCCATTTTTTCCAGCTGCTCAGGCCAAATTCTTTGGCATCATCCTCGACTTCTCTCTTTCTCTTACTGCCCGCGTCCAGCCCATCAGAATAGCCCGCTGGCCCCTGGTGAAGGCAGAGTATGGATTTGCAGGTCCCCTTGGGCCCTGGCTCGTCCCACCACCGCCGCTACTCTCCGGCTCCACCCAGCAGCACCTGGACCTGGACTGTTGCAGTAGCCACTCACTGGGTCTCCGCAGCCAGCCTCCACTCCTGGGCCTCCACACGGCAGCAGGAGCAGGTCGGGAACCGAAGCCCGATCACGTCGCCACTCCGCTCACAGCCGCCCGACGGCCCTCCTTTCACGGAGAATAGAGTCTGAAGTCCTTGCGCTGGGCTCCCCGCGGCAGTGACCCATCTCATCCACCCCTCTCTCCAGGGACATGCCAAGCGCACGCCGGCCCCAGGGCCCCTGTAGCTACCAACCCCACCCTGCGGAATGCATTGATGGGGCTCTCGTTCTTCACTTCGTTCTGGGTCTGCTCAGATGTCGCTGTGAAGAGGATTCTGCACATGGGATCGACTGTCGGCTCGGCTCGCCCCGCCGGGGCCCCCTCGCTCACGTCACCACCCGCGGTCTCTTAGGTTGTGTATGTGCTTCTTGCTATGATGAGGCCCCGTGAGGAGGGTTGTCTTCGGTGCCTGGTGCTTAGTGAGTGCTCATGAAACTTTCTGGCTACACAGGTAAGAGCAGGTGTGTGCTACGTGCTGGGCGTGTGCAGTGCACAAGACCGCACGATCCCTGGTCTTCGTAGCAGGCTCTCCCTCGGAGCGAGGGAGCCTAATGCAATAGCACAATAGCACAATAGCACAAGCAATGATTTCATTGCAACTAAGAAATGCACTACCTGGGTACAGCATGGGCATATTAGCCACGGGCCCTAAAGTAAAGGAAAGGGTGTAAGTAGAAGGCATATCTGCGAGGGCTTCCTTGAGGAGGTGCTATTTCAGGTGAGACTTGAAGGACCGAGAGTTGTCCTATTGAACAGCAGGAGGAAAAGTCTTCCAGGGTGAGAGAAGAAGATGTTCAAAGTCTCTGAGTGGGGAAAAATTTCAGTGTTTTGGGGCTAGCTTGTCAGAGCGGAGTAGAGCTGGGAGACTGCAGGGAGAATGAGCTTAGATTCCCTGGGGGAGGGAACCACTGCTCCTGTGGCCCGAGTTCTGTCTCGGCATATCTGCAAGGGTGCCAGTCACAACGTGGGTGGAGTCTGGCAGACTGGGGTCTAACCCTTATTTGCCAGTATCCTTAAACAAGTTCCATTGCTTCTCTGAACCCATCTGTCCTTCATCTGCCACTGACCCAGGAGCAGGCTTTCCCCGGGGTGCCCAGGCAGCCACACAGGTTTCCAGGAGCGATGGTGTGAGGCTCATTCTGGAGCCAGGGAGCGGAGGCTTCTGGAGACCCCTGAGAGCTTCGGAAACATCCCTTCTGGGCACCTTCCACGGCGCTTTGACAGGGCTGGGCTTCCCCCTCCAGAGACAGAATCAAAACCCAAAGCAAACCTCCTTCGGCTCAAGTCACCTCTGATTCCTCCTCAATCTTTGTGATGCAGAGTCGCGGAACCGCATCACATCTGGCCCTGTCCCGTTTCCCCAGGAGAGCTCTGCCCGTGCGCGGCCCGTCTCAGACACGCTTTGCGTCCCCTGCGAAACCGTGACGCTTACAGTGGAATGAGATGCTCGTGTCTTGCCAGGCTCCCTCATAAAGGATGGCGCTGACAGGCTCGAAGCCATAGGTCATGTTGATATTTTCCCATTAGTTTTCTATTCTTATTACATTTTGATGGATGGAGAGAGTGGGGATTTTATCGTAATCTCATTCCTGTCTTAAACTGCTAATTCATGCCTGAGTTCCTTCTTCCATTTTGTTTCTACAAATTCAGTCAAGTGCTGATGGGATGAAGATTTAATATGCAACTGCAAGTAGAGGCACGCTGGCAGGGGGAGCGAGAGCTGGGAGCTGCGTTCTTACAGAACAGCCTCATCAAGTCATTTGGTTATGAAAGCACCTCGGCGCCCCGGGAGGCTGGGGCTCTCTGTATATAATAAGAATAAACACATAATAATAAATAAAACAATATCTTACATCCAATATGGTGCTTTTAATTTTTCAAAACGATTCATTCCTTTTTTTTTTTTTCAATCTTTCCAACAGCCCCGCGAGGCTAGGAGGGTATTACTATTCCTCATTTATAGAGGATACTGAGACGCACGGAAGGGGCGTGGCGTAGGCTGGCACCGTGCGAACGTTCAGACGTGAGTGGACAGGCGCATCTCCAGCAGGTCGGGCCGGGCCGCCTCCCAGGGGACGTACACTTTGAGGGCAGGGTTGGTGACTGCGTGGAGGTGTTGTGACGGGCCTCTGTATCGTCTGTGACTTCCTCTCTTCCATCCTTCCAGTGACTACACCCTCTGGCAGCCTCCTACTCACCCCTTTTCCAAGATCCTAGCCCGTTTGTCTGTCTGGAGTCCCTTCCCCTAGGCCCCTGGTTGACCTCTTTTTTTTTTTTTTTTTTTTTTTTTTTAAAGATTTTACCATACACTCACACATGCACTTGCCAGAGAGAGTGGGGGGAGGGAGAGAGAGAGAGAAAGGAAGAAATACCCCCCCAGGGGGATGGCCACATCGCAATCCCTTCTCCATTCTCCTCTTGGGATTTTGGGCATGCACGCACACGTGCCCAGCTTGTTTTCCAACTGCCAAGTCCAAGATTCAAACTGTGGACTCGGCCATGTGGGATCCAGTACCTTAACTACCACGCCCCCTGCTCTCCCCTGGCTGACCTCTTTCATCTTGCCCACCTCCTCCCTCATGTCCTTGGTCCTTCCTTTGCTCTCGGTGGGTCAATGGGTGCCTCATCTCAGCCCTGTGACAAACCCTGGCCGGGTTCTACTCTCCTGTCACCCTCCTGCTCAGCGCCGTCAGAACTCCCAATGGGGCCTCCTGCCCTGTCCTCAGCACTTGGGGCCATGCAGGGTGGAGACATGCCCTGCAGTGGGGCGTGGATGCAGAGGGCCAGGACGCCGTGGGATGGGAATAGTGCAGGGAACCAAACATGCGGCCACGGGCATCCGAGGGCCTGCAGGGCCTGCTGTGCCCACAGCGCTCCACAGGTACAAAGCACCTTGGCACCCAGGCACGCCGGAGCCTCATGGCCACCCCAAGTGGTCCCTCTTGGGGCATGTGAAGAAACTGAGGCCCTGAGGGTTTCTGTGACCTTGCCCAAGGTCATGAGCTACTCTGGGCAGAGCCTGAACTCAAAGCCGGGGTTTCTGATCCAGAGCCTAGTGCTGTCTGTAGAGACCACCACGACTGTGTTGGAACGCGCCCCGGGCTGGCTCTTTCTGGGCATTTGCACTGGTAGTGGAAGTCACGCTGCCCAGCCGTGTCTGCCGAGGCGGCTCTGTAAATGCCAGGTAAGTGTGTGCACAGCTGGGCACGAGGCAGGTGTGGTCGGGCGCCTCCAGGCACGCTC